AGACCGGATCAGGTCAGACTAGACTGTTTTTTTTGGTCCCATCCTCCCCCCCGTACCGACTAGTAGTAGCAGCCAACTCAAACGAGAGAGTATACAAGAATACACAGACGGACCGAGGAGGAGGAGGAGCAGACTAATCTGGCGAGCTTCTCCCGTGGACAGGGCGAATCGACGATCGAACCGTGCAAATAGCACCGGCCGAAGGGAAAAAGTCGAGCCTGGGGTCGAGGGGAAACCCAACGGGTAGTTGTGGACAAAGAGAGAGCTGGAAACTGCCAAAGAGGGTGGAGGAATGGAAAAGGGATGTACGGTACCTACCTATGTACACATACGTGGAGGGAGGGGGGGGGGCACCTTTAGTCCGAGTGGTGTGCTGGAAAGAACGAGATGTATATATAGAGACAGGGGCCGAGCCTATACTAATGGGATTGGACTGTCGCGTCTTTTGAAATCCTTCACGTCGCTAAATCCATCGGTCCATCCCCGATTGACTTTCCACGCTATCCGTAATCCTCGCGTTTTTCAGTGTCCACCGAGCTTGCGGCTTCTATCTCTTTGTGGCTTTTAACTGCGTAGTATACGAGTATATACGTTTGGTTATGTATACGAAAGGTCTATAATTTTCAACTTCTTCCACACGTATTTCCTCCGTGAGTAGGTTCAACCACCGGTCGATCAATCAGTCAATTAGTACGTGGTCACTATTTTTCCTCCCCCTGTTCATACACGTATTAGCGCGTGAAATAATCATACACGACTATGCGCGTGAATCACATGTCGTGCAGAATGTATATAGTATCCATATAACACGAGAATCCTCCTTCTATCTCTCTTGGAAAGTGAACGGTTTTTGATGATGCTCGTATACATAGATAGGTACATTTGCGACACGGGAAATCGGGAAAAAGTATCGTATTGAAAGTTGCTGCTGCTATCCATCATACTTGTACGTTTACCTGTATGCCAGTGTAGCAGAGCGTGACTATAGCGATGGATGGAAAATGTACAATGTACTTGCGATTGACAAGTGTCTCCCTTTTGTTTGTTTTTTCGCTTCACATGACGGAACAACTCGACAATCTATGCTTCGACTTTTTTTTGTTCCATTACCGGTAAACTACGTTCATATACTGGAGCCTCTATTCTGGGATGAATCTACATTAGGTATAATGTCGATGATTGAACAAGACAATTATATTGCATTGCTGCCTATATTATACATACTTTTGTGATTTGAGGACTCCGACGGAATTCGATGAAAAAAAAAAATATAGACAGAGGTTGTTGAATCGCGGGTATAATGTTACATGGTGTGTGTGTATACCTTATACGGATAAAAGTTAAAAAAAAAAAAAAAAAAGTCGGTTAAGCGAAACTAATGAAGAGAAAGAGAGGAGTAAGAGAAACAACCTAAAGAGCTTTTGAACGGGAGACATCAAAAAGCAGCCCTCGGGAGTGTGCTTGTGATGTGTTATATGTTACCAACTCCCTGTAAAATCGAGAAGAAGAAGAAGAAGAAGAAGAAGAAGCGCGAGCGCGGAAAAGTCTCTGGAATATATAGTATATACAGAGCCGGCGCGTGTGCCAGAATCAACAAAACTGTATGGTAGTAGTAGTAGTAGTAGTAGTAGTAGTAGTAGTAGTAGATGTTTTGCGAGTAGAGAGAAATTATTTATGGCCTCGAAACGGAGTACAAATGGGGGGGAACCATGCCTGCAGTACTGCTGATGAAGCAAAGAGCGCTGCTATCAAAAGCCGAAGAAAACCACGGGGGGGGAGGGACGACGACGACGCCGTGTAAAGGAAAATCCGCGTCGAATTTTTTTTTCTTTATCTTCTTGCTCTCTACCTCGCGCTGTGTGCATGTCGTAGGTACAGTACTTGTACACACAGTGGGCTGTTGGCGAGGGTTTTCGTATACAAAAAAGCTCGCTGGTGCACATTTCCGAGTGACTGCGGAGAAGAGGAGTGTTTGCTCGGCTTTTCTTCTCTTCCTCTCGATGTGTCTGCGCCACGTATAGGCGTACCCAAAGTTGGAACTCTACTTTTTTTACCATGAATTTTTTTTCCAGTTTTCTCGTGGTTCATCGCACCGTTAGTGCTTAAGAAAAATATTGTCCTCATCCGGTTTTTCAATGTAATCCATTATTGCAAACTGTGGCATTATTTTTCAATCGCTATAAGCCTTTCGACCGATACAAATGGATGCCACGATGCGGATGCTTCCGACAAAAGAAAACGCCGTGAAAATCGAAAGCTCACCTGCAGCGAGGTTTTCTCGGCAAGCCCGCGTCCTCTTTAACCGCAGCATCCGCATGTCCATGTACATATGCACGCTTCCATCCTTGTGAGCATTTCGCATCAAACCGGACACGAGAACGAAAGAAAAAAAAAAAGCTCATCATCCTCGACACGTGCGTTTCCGGCCTATACACCATCACCGGCACTCTCTTTTATTATACGCGCATACCGAACTATTATGGGCAGGAAGCGTCAGTCATACATAAAACGCACCTATACATGTACCTATGCAGCAGCTCTCTTAGCTCTCTATTTCTCTTTTGAGTTTATACACGTGTAATACCTATATATGTAATGCATTCATAAGCATCTCTCGGCGTGTGGAAAGGAGAGCGCAGCTTTTCAATGTATACACCTATATATAGTAGTATATATGGTAGGCACACGGATTATGTAGGTACGGAGGAAAAACGAGAGACGCGGAGGTATAGGTGATGCCTAAGAAGGAAATGACGCGGCCGCGAAAATAATGGCACAAGTATAATCATCGAGTGGTAGCTGATGGTGCACGCGCTTTCGTGCCTGTATATAATATGTATACACTTGATTCATACACGTATACATAATATGTATGTGCCGATTCTCTCTCTCTCTCTCTCTCTTTCCTCTTCTGCAGACAATCCTGTACGCGACACATCCGCTGCTAAGCGCTTCCGTTCTCTTCACGGCACACGTGTGCGAGCTTGTACACTGTAGGTACCTATATACTTATTCAATGTTCATAAACAATATGGTACGCTTTTAAGGATTCGGTAGNATCCTGTACGCGACACATCCGCTGCTAAGCGCTTCCGTTCTCTTCACGGCACACGTGTGCGAGCTTGTACACTGTAGGTACCTATATACTTATTCAATGTTCATAAACAATATGGTACGCTTTTAAGGATTCGGTAGAATAAGAAAACAAAAAAAAAAAAAAAAAAGCTTTACAACGGATACTAACTCTTTTGTATTGGGAGAAGTTTTGTAACGTGATATTTCCTTTGACTTACAAATGTATAATATACTTACATTTGGTTGGTAGTATCAGTAAATTCTTTAAGACATTATCATACATTGGCATAACTATATGAAGATTTAATTTATAAAACTTTTATAAGCTTCAACGTTCATCTCTTGCAATTATTATTTAAATGAGTTCATAAATACGAGCATCGAATATTGATGTATTAATGTATTAATATAAGTATCGATGCGTATAATTTTACAATGACCTCATATACGAACTGTGCGTGGCAGTATACGTATACATCTATGTATTTATACGACATGAATAATAATATGAGCTGACTGTGAAACCGATGAATAATAATATTTTAGACGCACGTAATGTGTTCATATTAATTCCCTCCGATTAAAACAAAGGGTCTATTTTAATCGGGAAAGAGATGATGAATAAATTTCATCAATTCTAGCTAATTTGTACTTAGCTAACAACCCAACCGGCATATTATGTAGCACAAACTATGTAGCACACAGCTATGCAACAGATCAGTACATAAAAATATATTTCCTTTCTTTAATTGTCACGTCGCACGTCCATCACTCGAGTCCCTTACATTACACACCTCGCGCACACCAGCAGCTGACGCCTAACGAGCTACCTATACCGATTTCTTTCTCTCTCTCTTTCTCTTTCTCTTGCGCGTCACTTCGAAAAATGCACCCACGTACATACAATACATTTGAGGTGGGTGCTCTGTAAGAGTAGAGGGTGGACCTCACGAGCTTTTACAAGTATATATTCAAACGCACGTGCAGCCGCACGCGAATCGCTCGATTTGTTCCAAGTGCACGCGCTCGGGTATATATATATATATATATATATATATATATATGCGTACTCTCGGTTCGACGTACGCTTTAGCAGTTTTATACTCGTACAACGCTCGTCTGAAAGCATGGTTTTTGCGAGGAGGAGCGGTCGCTGCGTTCAACAGATGATGGAAAAATGGACATTATGATCGGCACTGTATCGGTTTTGCCGATTTTTTGTTTGTTTTCGCGAAATACATTCGGGTTTCGTGTATTTACACGTTTATCGAGGAATGAGGGACGGGGGGAGGAGGGAAAAAAGAGAAACTTTTTATCGTCAGGTAAAAACGCACGCGCTGAAACTGCCGGGAAGTGATTTCTTTTTCAATTAAAATTCCTTTCGTTGCCGCGCGCACGTAAACCCGACTCTCCCGCTATACGCGGAGCACCCACGAATGGACACATGTATAATCCGATTGAGTTTTCAAGTTATCGCCGAGGCTAATCCAATACACAGTTCCAGCACGAAAAAACAACCATCACACCCAGTTTTTTTTTTTTCTTCCATATATACATGGTCGAGACGCGTTGTTATTCCGGTCGAGGAGTAGGTATATGTAAGGGGGACAGGAAATAAAATAGTTGCTTCCCTGGATTGTGTATTGTTTACGCGTCTTGTTTTCTGATTCTTTTAGAAAGTAGGTACCCTTTGAACACAATGATCGACTTACTCGTTGAAAACGAAACGAACGCGGTGACGACCAGTTTCATCGATCAAGCTATTGTTTTCGGCCCAAGTCGCTATCCTTGATGGTAACCAATGTCCCACCTCGCCCTCCGACAAAGCCCTTTTTGCCCCAAAACTTCTGACTCGCCATTTCCATTGCAAATAGTTAGACGGTAGTGGCAAAAGTGTACTCAACAACTCATGTGTTTCGTTGCAGGTGACGAGATCGGCAGACCTGGCGATCGAGATCCCGGGCAACCTGAGCCAGGGTGGCTCCTGGTACAGACTGGATTACGTGCCAGGGGTCGGGTACCCGCCCCCGAACACGACCTTCGCCGCCTCGGAGATCGGCGAGGTCATAAAGTTTCGCGACGGATTGCCTGGCACGCGTTACGAGTATTGGCTCTACTACAGCAACGGCACCCTACACGACTGGCTCACCTGGACCGTATCCATTATAACGCGTAAGTATCCGCCAAACTATTGTATCGTATATAATATATANCCATTCGTAAGTACTATAGGAGAAAAATGACATGGCATTGAAAAAAAAAATAAAAAAATAAATAAATAAAAAAACCAATCCATCCATAACAACGTAATTTGTGCTTACGCAGGGCCGAATCCAGTGCTCAACGTCACCCCAGTTATCGATTCGACGAACGTGACGCTCGAGTGGCCGCGGCCGGAGGGTAGGATAGAGTACTACGCGCTCAAGTGGTGGCCCACCGACATCCCGGAGAGTATTCGGGCGAAGAATGTGACCGCCAGCAGCGATCTGTCGAGCTACGATGATGGGTCGTCCGCGAATCACAATATCGAGAGGATATTGGTGGGCGACCTCATGCCGGGCGTCGAGTATTCTTTTTCCGTGTACACCGTGTCGTACGATCTCGTCAGCGACACCACGAGTCTAAAGACCCGCACGAGTTAGTAGTCGCTTTTTGTTTTTCGTCAAACGTGTTTTTTTTTTTTTTTTTTTTTTTTTTTTTTAACAAATATTTAACTGCATGTCACAAGCATTTGATCAGTAACTTGAATAACAACAAAGCTAATTTCTCCATTCCATCGTCAACTAATTAATGAGAAATTACTAAGAATATTACTAATAGAATGAAATGCATTTCCATCCTTGTTTTTACAATAATGCTAACTACGATTTTTGATACTACGTACGAATAATAATAATGCCGATTCTTTTCCAATGCACTCTTCTAACGATACTAAAGGTGAAAAGGAACTGGGAACAGATCAAGGTACATTTTTTTCTCGTAAGTGTCGTGACGCTTGTATACTAACAATACAACTAAACCATTATGGCATATACTTACACTCACATGACCAATCCGATCCAACAAAATAAACGCCGTATATTCACGAATGTACGCTATGCATGCAGCGTTGCGAATCGAAACTAAATTTTCATGCAAAAACTGTAGTTGGAAAAAAAAAGAAAATTAGTCTTGATTCCCGCAATCACTGACTTTTGTCTATTGCACGAAGTTGTACATAACATATGTGATATGATTGTAGTTATAATAAGTGTATACGTGTGCACAATCGAGCAATTGATGATTTACTTGGTAGAGCATCGAACTCAACGTTTTTCACACACAAAGTGCCCCATTCGGCGATATCTTAACTACCCAGAAAAAAAAAAAAAAAAAAAATACATGTACATGGCTTCTTGAAATTCCATCAAATAAACATAAAGTTCGCGAATAAGTGCGCGCTTTGGCTCGATTGTACGCACACGTAAAATGTATATATACATGCGCATACGAATGCGGCTCACGCCGAGGCCACATACGTACGTACATTCACCAACGTATATAAGTATGTACATATACACTGATAGAAAATTCTGACATCGAACGAGCGATTCGTCAACAAACCCTTTTTTTGCGCGACATTCGCATTATCAATCAATGAAAAACGTTCCGAACTCGTATCGGTAGTAATTTTGCCGATCGGTAGTGTATTTTGACAAGTCCATTCAACGAGATATCCCTTCAAAGTTTGCTCGATCGTCGATCGCGCGTTTGACCTAATTTTAATCTTTGCTCTTCGAACGCTCGAGTCACAATATGTACACGCCTGTATCAGTGTATATACCATTACACGAACGAAAATCTCGTGATATAATTATATATGTACACTTATATTTTTTTTCCAACAAGTATCTTATCTCTGCTGTGTGTTTTTTTCCTCTCCCCTTCTTCTTCTTCTCTCTCTCTCTCTCTCGAATGTACATACAAACGACATCATCACACATCGTTCCCCGTGACTCGCAACGAAACGACTGCACCGCACTCGTTGCAGTGCCGCTAATTCAGTCGGAGGTGGTGGTCGTGGTGAGGAGCGAGCAGCCGGATTCCCTGACGCTGCGTTACACGCCGACACCCGTGCAGTCGTCGCGCTTCGATCTGTATCGGTTTCGCATCAGCGACGGCCCCAACACCGTCCAGGAGCGCGTGGTCAACGACACCGACACCAAGGTCACCTTTACCGGGCTCACCCCCGGCAGGCTGTACAACGTGACCGTCTGGACCGTGAGCGACAACGTCAAGAGCAGGCCGCTTCTCAGGCAGGACAGACTATGTGAGTATTATACACATCGACCGTCAGATCTACCGATTCGTGGGTCTATATATTTATACGTATGAGTGGTGCGTGGTAAGTAGTGGTGATGGCGGTGGGTCTTGGTGCAATTTAAACTCACAATGAGATTAATTGGATCAGATGGAGAGGAATTTAAAACGGGCTGCTGCGGCTCGAAGTGCGCGCCTGCACTTGGAATTTAAAAGCTCCCATCTCCTCTGGTCGAGGTGTACGTAATATATAACATATAATATACTTATTCAGTGATGGTTGGAATTTTCACTTTCACGTATACACATAGCGTAATTATTTCCTTTTACGCAGTATCAAATTGATCGAATCGATCGAATGATTTTTACCGATAAGGGCTCGATCGAATGTGGTTGAAACTCGATAAATTTGTCTACAATCGCGGCGTGTTCACAGCGCCAAGTGCTCGGTGTTAAAAATAACCGTTTCGCCAAGCTCGAAGCGCTTTCGCGGGAGTATCTTGAGATTTGAAAAGCTTTACAATCCCGTTCCAGCTCTCTCGGGCTGGTTCAAAAATAGAAATGTATTGCACGCGTATGGAGTAGCCGTCGTTGTGGCAATTTTTCCGAAACTGATGAAACGATTTGCTTTCAGATCCAGAGCCGGTGACGGCGATCAACGCGACGGAGATAAGCGCCACGAAAATCACCTTGGCCTGGGATCCCCCGCGGGGCGAGTACGACGCTTTCGAGGTCCAGTACATAAACGCGGACAACGTTTACGTGCAAAACATCACCTCGTCCAACTCGATCACGATAACCGAGCTGAAGCCCTACCGGAACTACACCTTCACCCTGGTCGTGCGCTCCGGTACCCCGTCAACGTACCTGAGGCACTCGAATCCCCTGAGCGCGAGCTTCACCACCAGCGAGTCCTTCCCCGGGCAGGTCGAAAAATTCCAGCCCACCGACATACAGCCGAGCGACATAAGCTTCCAGTGGGTCCTGCCCACCCAGGAACATAATGGTGTCATCCGCAAGTTCAGCATCACTTACGGCCTCGAGGTGCGTTTCTCTTATTATCGCGTGAAGGGCCCGTGTCTTTGACGCTCCATCGCGTCCCCCTCGCGATAACATGTATCGAATGACCAGTGGGGGCACAGTGGGTCTTGGAATTACCGCGGGCCGTATCGGCAGATCGGCTTACCCGCTTATCGCGCGAATCGAAAACACACACCCAAGCATATATTACATTGCGCGTTGTTCGAAGGAAGGCATTAATAATTCATGGGGCACGTGATCCAATTGGCTCGCGCGATCGGCATAAACACCGTGACATAATACGCGAAATCCTTCAATATTCATAAAATGATCGCATCATGATTACCTTCGAGGGGACGAGCCAGTTGGCACGCGAGCGAGGTTTTTCCTCTGTGTGTGTGGGGGGGGGGGGATCCAGGAAGTGGAGAAGGAAAAACAAAAAAAAACAAAAAACAAACAATGCATCGTACGAATTGTCGGCAGGGCTCGACGCACACGCAGACGCGGGACTTTGGGCCGGAGGAGTTCCGGGGCACGATAAAGAACCTCATCCCCGGCAAGACGTACATATTCCGGGTGCAGGCGGAGACGCGCGTCGGCTTCGGCCCCGCGGCGGATTGGCGGCAAAAGATGCCGATCCTCGCGCCTCCCAAGCCACCGGCCCAGACCGTGCCCACCGAGGTCTGCCGCAGCAGCACGACCATACAGATACGCTTCCGGAAGAACTACTTCCTGGAGACCAACGGGCCCATCATCTACTACACGATCATCGTCGCCGAGGACGACAGCAAGAACGCCAGTGGCTTGGAGATGCCGAGCTGGAGGGACGTACAGGCTTACAGCGTCTGGCCGCCCTATCAGGTGAGCGTTCAAAATCCTTGTTTTTTTAAATAGTACAACAATCACGTCGGCCCCTCCTATCCCCCTCTGTCCCCGTGGCTTGGTGGTTTTTCTCCGCAGCTTTGAAATGAAAAAAAAAAAAAAAAAGAGCGATACACCTCGAAGAGGCAAGGCCGCGGCCGTGCGTTTTTCTCCCTCCCTCCTTCCCACGCGGGCTCGGCTCCGCGATCTGAATCGTTAATTTTAGTGCGCGTTGACAACGCAACGCCGTCTGTTTATGTCTAATACTTGTATGGAAACATATATTTTAACATGATTCCCCTCTGCGCGCATCCGAGGAGGAGCTTCGCGTGACGGCGAGGTAATAATGATGATTGGAAATTGAAATCGGCAGAGTAATCGTTTATCGGTAAAAACGTAGCAATATTACGTATAACAGGTATATCCATGATCGATTGGTGAGCGCGTAATACCGAGAGTTACGTAAGCAGGACAGCGAGAAAAGAGAAACCTTGTGCATATATGTATATATATGTATATGTACGCGACAAAAGTTTATTGCTCTTGATTGTTTTCTTCCTTCGGGGCGCTCTCTAGTTATGTATGTAAATAAATGAGGTTGCGTCATGTATAATCGCGTCGCGTGTTTCAGGTAATGGAGCCGTACAATCCGTTCAAGAACAAGTCGATCGAGGACTTTACGATCGGGACGGAGAACTGCGACAACAAGGGCTACTGTAACGGGCCGCTCAAGCCCGGCTCGACTTACCGGGTGAAGGTGCGAGCTTTCACGGCTCCCGACAAGTTCACCGATACAAACTACAGCTTCCCCCTGCAAACTGGTGAGTGACGTTGATATATATATTTTTCCGCACTCGGGTGGTTTTATATACCTATATATAGACGCACCGGTACAAAAGGCGCGTGTGCCAACTGCTGCCGCCGGCCGAAATATTCGCAGACCCGGACGCTGTGCTAATAGTCGACGAGTGATTTGTTTCATGTAGATACCTACACTCATTTTCTTCGGTTTTGTATTTTTTAATGGTTTTGTTAACAACTTTTCCGACAAATTTTCATGGTATCGGTACAACGACCGAGTATTGCAGAGCTCGATCACGTATCTGTGTTTTTGGGCGAGAAAATCGGCATCCACGTTTATCCCACCGTGAATGCCAAAGAGCAATAAAAACCCCCAAATGTACCAGCTTAAAATGAAAAAATAAAAACACCTTAGCTCCGGACCCGCCCTCGAACCTCACGGTTCTGGTGAAGAGCGGCAAATCGGCGGTGGTGTTCTGGGAGCCACCGCGACAGGGCAACTACTCGGGCTTTCGCCTGCGCGTCCAGAGCTACAACGACGCCGGCAACCCTTGGACGAGCGTCATACCGGCCGACGCTGCGCCCTACACCCTCCGCGACCTCACCCCCGGGGCCACCTACTCGCTCCAGCTGTTCACCGTCCTCGACACCAAGGAGAGCATAGCCTACACCAGCCGGAACTTCACCACGAGTTAGTCCAGTGTTTTTTTTTACCTTTTTTTTTTACCTTTTTTTTTACCTTTTTTTTCCCCCTCCCTTCCACAAAGAATGGATTTTCTCATACATTGTACGTGACAAACAAACATCCCCTTCAGAGCCCAACACGCCGGGCAAGTTCATCGTTTGGTTCCGCAACGAGACGACGCTCCTGGTGCTGTGGCAGCCACCCTACCCGCCCGGTATATACACGTACTACAAGGTCAGCATAGACCCCCAGGATGCCGCCGAATCGGTGCTGTACATCGAGAAGGAGTCCGAGCCTCCGGGACCGGCTCAGGCGGCTTTCAAAGGACTCATCCCCGGTAAGGCCTCTTTTTGTTTCTCTCAATCGGTATACCTTTCTCCCCCTGACCCTCTATTTTGGATTATTTTGGATTATTTTGCTAGAGCAAGAGCACGCAATGTATATTTTACCCATTCCCAATGATCGAAATACATAAAGTATGGTGATAATTGTTGACAAAAAAACAACAAAAAAAAAAATGAATATATTTTAGGTCGAGCGTACAACATCTCGGTGCAGACGGTGGTGGAGGACGAGACCTCGGCGCCAACGACGGCCCAGTACCGTACGGTGCCTCTGAGGCCGCTCAACGTGACCTTTGACAATTCCTCGGTGACGTCGACCTCCTTTCGCATCCACTGGTCCCCGCCTAACGGCACCAGCGAGTTCGACAAGTATCAGATCTCATTGGCGGGCAATCGGCGCTTCGTCCCCGTCACGAGGAACCGGGAGGATGACTGCCGCTGGGAATTCAAGGACCTCGAGCCCGGCAAGACTTACCAGGTCGTCGTCAAGACCTTCTCGGGCAAGGTTTCCAGTTGGCCGGCCAGTCGGGATGTCACCCTCAGTTAGTACACATAAGTTATACTCTCGAAACATTTTTTCTTTTATCTCTAATCCCACGGACTCGATCGCTCTCGGTGTATCTTGCTGCAGGGCACTATAACGATTTCCCCTCGATCGGTTAACGTATCTCCCACACGCGATACCTCGACCTGCACGTTTGAAAAAGTAACGCGGTACACGCAGTTTGGTCGACGCGCGAGTTTTTAGAAAGTTTCAAAGGTTTTTGCTCTCAGCTATAGGTTGCTGACTCGATGCGGCTGACTTTTTGTTTTTCGACTAGCCGTGTGTGCAAAAAAAAAAAAACCTCGTCCAAAGCTGTGCTGTGGGCTAATGGAATATTAATGATCCTTCGGGACGGCCGATCGCGTCGTTAATCATCCCCGAAATTTTTCACTTACAAGTACATGTGTACGATCGAGAGGAAAAGAAAAGAAGAAAAATCTTTTCAAAGCGAGTACGCGAAAAAAAACAACAACAACAACAATAATAATAATAATAATAATAATAATAAGTGGGATCGACGTTTTTTTACAGGACCTCTGCCAGTTCGGGATCTGCGAGCGGAAATCGATGAAAAAACGTGGATGGTCGAGGTCTCCTGGAGTCCGGAGAACATCAGCAGCCAAGACTCGTACCGAGTACAGTACCACGAGGTTGAAGCGACCATCGGTGGCGACAGTAATGTCTTGACCACAAACAAAACCAGGGTAATTTATCACTTTCGTTTTGCTCTCGATGTGTGTATCTCTTGCGTCTATCTGTTGTAAGGTTTGTGTCAAAAAAATTGTGAAATGCACTCGGCCTCATTAGTGTCAGAAAACGATCAATCATAGGATCAACGAAATAAGATGCATCACTGTTTTTTAATTCTGTCACAAATAATTCTCACTGTCATTTGTTACTTACATCTGCACAGATAACCCTGGAGGCGCTGCTGCCCGGCAGAAATTACTCGATAATCGTGCAGGCGATCAGCAACAAGGTCGAGTCGAACGAGACTGTGCTGTATCAGGTGACCAAGCCCTCAAGCCCGATAATCGAGGATCTCAAGTCCATCGAGAAGGGCTTGAACATATCGTGGAAGAGCGACGTCAACTCGCGGCAGGAGAAGTTCGAGGTGACGCACAACCGAAACGACACTGGCGAGAGCGCGACGACCCTCACGACAGAGTCGCACATCGTGCTCGAGGACCTGTATCCCGGAGCCGGCTACGAGGTCAAGGTCTTTGCCATCAGCCACGGCTTCAGGAGCGAGCCCCACGCCTACTTCCAGGCCGTCTGTGAGTCTTGTTGCTGTTGTTGCTCGTTTCGTTATTTTTGCAACTCGATCTCCCCTACGGGTGAAATTTTAACTTGATAAATTTACCCCCTGGTTTGAGAAAAACGTTGGAAAGATTAATCGGCCACTTGGATGCTGCGAAGCCGGTTATTGTTTTTCTACCAAACGAGTTTCCCTACGATGTTTTTTTATGTATTTTTTTATACGTTCCGAGATAGAGAAATAATTTACAAATGCAAATTAGGCGACCGACAGGGATGAATAACTTCTCATAAATATCCAAAATTGGCAGTTTTTTTTCCAAAAAAATAAAATTTTTTTTATTTTATTACTAAACGCACGATTTATTTGCAAACAGTGCCACATCCACCGCGCAACCTCAGCATCGAGAAGGTAACGAGCAACACTGTTCTGGTACACTGGGAAGCACCGACCGATTCGATATTTTCGGAGTACGCCATCAGGTATAGGACCGAGGACGATCCGCATTGGGTGAAACTTCCAAGTGTGAAGGAGACCGAGGCGGAGGTCGCTGACATGACTCCCGGTGAACGGTACACCATTCAGGTCAACACCGTGAGCTTTGGCGTCGAGAGTCTCTACCCTCTTCAAGTTAATCACACCATTCGTAAGTACTATAGGAGAAAAATGACATGGCATTGAAAAAAAAAATAAAAAAATAAATAAATAAAAAATGTACGTGAATGCCGATTTTCACAGCAATAATAATAAATCGGTTAAACATTTTGTAGATGATGGATTTGGATGTTTTATCGCGCGTGTCTCTCTGATCTCTGTTGAGAACAAAAGGCAAATGGAACTTTCGACCAAAGTAACATGAGTGGGGGTGCACTTTGATCTTAAGTGCTGGGAAAAAATATGTAAAGGAGAAAAAAGATTTCTCATCGGTCGAGCTCTGCTCGATCGTCACCCTGCGTGGTACAATAGCAGCAGCCAGCCACCCATCGACGATGGTCACGCGTCTCGCCTACCCTTCCCCCCCCCTTTTTTTTCCTACATCCACATATACCACGTGTGTATGTACTTACGGACACTCCCATCATCCGTATACACTCTCTTTTGTCCGACGACGACGACGACTTATATATATCGTATGAGTTTCACGCGTGAAAACGAGGTCTACTTGCAGCCACCAACCAACCGCCTGTGTCCCTCTCTCTGCCGATGTGTTTGCAATAGGCAATGTATATATATATATATATATAGTGCATGTGTGTATATGTGCGTTCACCCACTGCGCGCTCGAGTGGAGCGAAATTTCGCTTCTGGGTCACGCGTGACGCCGCGTCATGTCCGTTCGGTTTGAGCCAATGATGTCGATTTTCACCCGTACGATATATATACACTGTA